AATGTAAGAGTGATAGATCATTGGAATCGGCTACCCAGCAAGGTGGTGGAGGCCCCAACCCAGGAGTCATTCAAGGTCAGGCTTGACAGGGCCCTGGGCAACCTGACCTAGGTAGAGATGTCCCTGCTTGTGTAGGGAGGTTGAACCAGATGACCTCTGGAGGTCCCTTCCAGCCTAAAATATTCTACAATCCTATGTAATTACATCTATTCATATCACTAAGTACTTAACATACCTTTTTTTGTGCGTATCCTGCACTGAACCCCACCTGTGACATTTCCATTTGGAATGTATCACCTTGATCTGTACCTGGTAAAAAAAGATATTAACGTATGGTCAACCCTATAGAACCAACCAATAGATCCCATCTTGTTGCCTCTCTATATCTATATAGGGACTGTACATTATTTTTTCCAAATCCACCAATTCTGTTAGAGCATTTCCAACATTTACAAACAACAGAAATTTGAGACCTAATAAATTACAGGATATTTGGAGGATTTAATAGTAAGTTGATAAGATGGAGCTGCCATGCTATGAGTCTCTTCCAAAAAAAGGCAGAAGATAATGATAAAGATAGCTTGACTCAATCTGCACAGTCTTGTCACTGTGGCTAATCAATTTTTGTTTCCTAGGAAGCACTAATAACACACTGAAACTGGCAACCTTAATAACTGTGTGTTGGCAACTTCCAAATACAGTGTTAATGTTTACTGTCATATAGGACTTGTAAATACTGTTGGAATTGTCTTAAAATATTGTGACATCCAGGAATATTTCCTAAGCTAGATGGATGGGACTCAAGTAACAGGAATTCAGTTGGAGTGAACCCAACAAGGGGATCTCAACCACTCTCCTTGATGCGATCAGCAGCATGGGCCTGGTAAGGAATAGACAGAGGTGAAAGGGAAGGGAAGATTTCATCATGAGCACAGGAATGTTGCAGCCATGAAAAGCTCCTTAGGGAGGCCTGAGGGCAGATGACAAGTGTTTGAAGTAGGGTCTAAATTGACTTTAAAAAGCGGACTTCTGGGACAAAGTGCCTCTGGGTCATCTCTACAGCACCTTCCTCCCAACGTTACAGAGTGGACTGTGGGTGATGCTGGGGATGGAGTCTGGTAGGCACTACACAGATTGTATTACTGTAGATTTTCAGTTCTGTAATCAGGAACCTAGCCTTCTGATTTGCTTTTTAAACTTACATTTGCTTACCATTCACACAGTGTATCAAGCATAAAGATACTTTTACTCCTCAGTGGTAATAGCCCCACATACAATTGGGTGCATATTGACAAGCCCCTGTTGGATAACTGAAGCGCATGACCTGACAGAAACTCTCAGCATCTGGGGAATATCTCCTACAAACTGCAGAAACTTATTTGAAACCCAGGCTTATAAAGGGTCGAATAGCTTGGGGAACATCTATGCAAACAAGAACCCTCCTGGGAAGCAGGGAGCAGCCTGCAGCTCCACCTGCCCCTTGTTTTCACAGTACTACACCAAGGCAAAGCTAAATAAAATCCTTAGGTCATCAGCTAGGACCATCTGATCTAATTTTTCAGAGACAATGAATATTTTACCTTCTATACTAAAAATACGCTCTCCAAGTGTTCCTGCTTCTTCCAGTAGTGCAGCCTCAGATGACACATTAAAGAAATACTTGTCTGTTGGATGACTGGCAATTCCTTTGATTTCTTTAATTAAGTTTTTAGTATCAAGTTCATGCCTGATTAAGTATCCCAAAACCTTGGGCAAAAAAAGAACAAAGTAAGAAGAGTGAAGAAAATTATGGTGTTACTCCGTTTCCCTCTCTATTATTTGTGTAAATATTTTAGAAATTAAAAATAAAAAAAACTTCATTCATATTACAGAATTGCTTATCAGACTATTCCTATACAAGAGACCACTCAGACAGAAATATACATAAACCGAGGCAAAGCAGAAAAGCACTGAAGTTGCTCAGGTAATACTAGTTTTCAGCCAGTTAAAGAATATTATTTCATGAGCTCATAAAGATTAATTTCACCTAGTTTCAGTCTCAGCAATATAACAACGCAGGCCTTACATACACCTTATATATAGAACATCCATTTTCATACATATTCAACAAAATGATCTTTCAAAAACTGCAATAATACGTACAGTTCTACTACTACTTACAGCAATGCCAAATCTGGTTATATTGTCTTCATTGCATTTGCCTATCACTGTTTTCAAGTTGGAGCCATCATGGGATTCACCATCTGTCACAACAACCATTACTTTGGTTGCTGCCGGACGTCCTCCTGATTCAGGTGAGAAGGCATACTGTCTGTTATAAAATATGGGATTTATCACATGTCAATTTATTATGGGTGGAATTTAGTATATATACTGTAATGAATATGTCCATCACTGTCTTAAAACAAGGTGCACCTGTAGTGCTCTTTAATTTGCAAATTAACCGTCTGCTATAAGAGTTCTCAATTATGGTCCAGATAGCTTCTTCTCAAAACACTGCTCAAAGAAGCATCTGAAATGTCATCAAGGAAGTAGAAAAGAATGCCAAGTACGACTGGATGGAATTTCTGACAGAAATGTGCATTGCAATAAAATCACTATGGTTTTGTACAAATGTTTCTAAATAAACAGGTGGTTTTGTCACGACTATTACTGTTTTGTGACACCAGAGTAGCCACAAATTGGCTCCACCAAGTTTAAACAAAAGGAGAAGAATATTAATAATAGGTTCCTCAACACTACAGCAAATATCAACTCCACTGAAGGCCGAGTCTCTAAAAATTTTCGATGCCATTTGATTCAACAGATATTTTGGCATAGACTCCTGTCCCTGATTCAGCTGCACAATAGCATCTTCCTGTTGAGAAACAGACCTGGTTCGTATATGTATTCAGTCACGTGTTTTAAGTTTTTCATATTTTTCATACTTCTGGTCCTGCAGTGACAAACTGACAAGAGACATGATAACATATTTTCTGTGTAATCAACCAAAGTGTGATGATGTTCAATGCACTGTCATGTTTAGACACCTGTGACAGCCCAAAGAATTCCGTGGGGTACCAGAACAACTTTAGGGTAGGGTTTAACCTGCACTTAATGGTTAAAGGCATGCTCTTCAGCAAGTCTAGTTTTCATATCCCTATACTGTTCTGCACGGGGCACTGTAAATGTACCTGAATGATTCTGCTTGGCATGGGGAACCTCCTCAGAAGCTCTGAGCACATGCACGTGCAGTGGCAATGAAATTCAGGATGTGCTCATTGCCTTGTAAGGTAAATTACAATAGCTTCATGGTAATCAATATGTCTTACCTGGCATTGTCAATGGCTTTGAAAGTATTAGTGAGATCTCCTCCCTTCTGATATGTTCTCTCCATTGCTTTAACAACCTCATCCTTTGTTTGATATGTATTCAGGTTGAACACTACACGGGGATCATTGGCATACTGAATTAAACCCACCTATGCAAATGAAGAGATTATGTTAGATTATCACACATTACACTTGTTTACACAAAATCATAACACTTAACAGGCTGGAGTAAAAGATCTGCAGATGCACATAGCGTTATCATTTTTTTTTCAACACATATAAAGTAAATTAATATTAACATGTTTGGAAAACAAAGAAAGCTATGATGCTATTTTGCACCTTATGTAATTTATTATGGAGTACAATGCGTTAATGCAAACAATCTGAAATAGTAGGTGTTATGTTTTCTTGGTTACTTTTGGAAGAGCTGAGGGATAGCAATAACAGAGGGAGCTCTGGGAAAAAAAAAACAAAACAAACAAAAAAACCCAAACAAATGCACAAACAAAAAACCCACAACACCCAAACAAAACAAAACAGAAAACAGCAAAAATTCTACAACATAAGAGTACCTCAATCTCAACTTTTCTAAAGAAATCCTAAAGGTTAGTTACTTGCCAGCACTGCAGGCCCTATTTATTTTTAATACAGGTGAAGCTAAAGACATATGCTAAGATGTACATTTAGTATCAAAGAAGAGAAGAGTAGAAGCTGAAGGTGAGATTCAGAAAGGTATGAGCAGGAAGCCTAGCTTTTAAGCACCTCACTTCCAAAGTAAGCCCAAGGAAGAAGGCAGCCTTTGGGAGAGAGTTTTGCAGTGCTTCAGTCTTTGTTCCCAGAACTGTTTATGGAAAATGGACAACTGTAAAGACAGAAAATGTTTAAAAAAAAAAAAAAGCAATAAAATTTTCCTTACCATGATCAAATTAAAAGGAAAAAAGAACTCAAAGATCAGACAGTAAACAAGCAGGAAAAACTCCTATTTTAAAGATGCAGCAGTTGGAAGGTAAGAGCTGTATGAGAAGCCTACAGAAAAAAATCTGTTCTACTTTTAGCAGATCCCCACAGACCGTATTTTAATTACTTTTACACCTAATACATGAAATAGATCTGACTCTCCTAGATATAACCTAGACTTCTATTCCAGTTGGTTTACATTTTGAATCAAATTACTAATCCCTTTTGAAATAGGTTAGCTATGAAATTAAAAAAACAGCACTGAAAGATACAGGAAAACTGCATAATCTGTGGCTTTTTGGGAGGTACCGTAGTTACACTAAAGCACACTTTATTTCTTTTTAAATTGATAATAAACCCCCTGGCCTTTATTTATTTATTTATTTTTAAGATCAGTCTCAAAGAGGTCTTTGACTTACCTGGGTTTTGTTAAGGCCTATGTCTAAGCCTTGCACAAATTTTTTCAAAAATGCTCGCACTGCATCCCAGGGATAAATGCTGTTTGACTCATCACAGACCACCACAACATCTATGACAGAGGAACACTCTAAAACAAAATAAAGAGTGGACATTAAATGCACTTTCAGTCTCAATATATATACAACTCTTTGGTTACATCCAGAGGTGCATATTTAAGTCTCACACAGGCAACCATTCAGACCAAGAATGTTTTGCCAGCATCAAGACTCTATAAAATCATGTGCAGCTTTTGAGCCTGCACTGGTGCAATCCTCTGAATCCAGACAAGTGAGTTTATATTCATATCAGTATCAAATCATGATTTGCCAGTCCTTAGATGTGAATCACAGGAATTTGCTTTTTGCACATACTTTTTTTTTCTTTTTTTTTTTCCCAAAAATCCCAAACCAAGAGTCCCAGCACAACGTATCTCGATTTCATTCTATATGTCTTTTTAATTGAATCTATTTTGCACATGTTGCCTTACTTTGAACAGCAGGAGAAAAGCTTCGTAGGATCTGGAAACTTGGACTGAATTCAGAACAGACTCCTGTTGCATAGTATTGGCTTCCACACTGCTGTGCCCACAAGGGACCACAAGTCTTAAAAATAACAACAGAAAGAAACTATAAAAATGACAAATACTTGTCTCAGTGTATCCATATACCGAAGGACAGTAGGCAAGACTACAGGATCAGAGGAGCCCTCTGGGGTTATCAGGCCACATACTTTGCCATCACAGCGACAGTGAATCCCTTTCACAGACTTTCTCATTGAAAGGATTTTCTATGCATGACCATCCTAGTGCCTCCTCCAGCAAGCTGAGCCCCCCACACCACGCACAGCTATAACCCCTCGTCTGCAAGGAATCTGCGCTGCTCTACGCCACAGCGCTTATGCGCGTTACTTCCACTAACCAGGAGATGGCATCAGCGCCATGGCCAAGCAGATCGCCGCAAAAACGCAAAGAAAGCCCTTCTTGAGGTATGCCCGATTACCACCAACTGAAGAACTTTGTGATCAGTGAGCACGCACACATTTATTAGTTTGAGAAGCCTTGTTCCCAAAGGAAAATCACTTCGCTAAAATATTTATAAGCTAAACTTCATCATCTTCAGTGACTTTGCAGCCTCACAGCATCCACTGCCCTACTTTGCTGTACCTAAAAGAAGTTTGGCCCTGGCCTCGTGTACTCCTCAAATACATATTTCACTGACTCTTGGGAAAATAATCTTCTTTCTTTGATGAAAAAAAAAAAAATATTCTTTCCTTTATCGCTAAAAAGAAACGTTTTCAGCTGTATCAACAACCTGTTTACATGACAGCCACACTTGATATTTGAAGGATGAGTACAAAAGTACCTAGATAAAAAAGGCAGTATTTATTCTGAGACAGTATTTGGTCATGAGAGTATTGGGAATGATTCCTTAAAAGAAAGTCATATGAGGAACTCAAGGAAAAAAACAACCTCTATATAACCTCTCTCCAACAGTTCTGAAAGAAATGACAGATTGGTTACATATACTTTCTGATCTCCCTATCCAGCTGGGAGAACCTGGAAAACAGAAAATGCACCATCTGTATCTATGAACAGAAGAGTGAAAGGCACAATTAAGCTTTTCTCAACAATACTGGAAAAAAAAAAAAGTAACTAAAGGCAGAAGTAAATGGAAAATGAGCTAAATCACACACAGGTTTACTAGTGATAGGCTACATCAAACTATCCTAACATACTTGACAAGATTTTCTAGACAAGAGAAAGGAAGTATATCTATGTTATCTGATATTGAGTGCTCTTTTTAGTTGCTACTCAGGGTATGATTAGCATTACGGGAAAAGACATATTTACAGAGGTGAGACATACAAAATAAATAACCTATATTGCTAACTATGAAACTGGCGGAAATTTAGTGTTTTTTAATTTGAAGTTTTTTAATTTAAAGTTCTTTTAAAAATCAATCTTTTGCCCATTTTGTGTTTTTCTTCTGTATTAATAGTAACTCAAAATTGTGATGTTAATCTGAAGGGAAAAATAGAAATGTTCTAATAAACTTTGCTGATCTTCACTTTTTTTTCTTTTTTTTAAAAAAAAAGCTCTAATGTTCTAGCATTGTTACAGTCAGAAATTTAAGATGCATCATTATTGCAGGGAAAAACTGGGAAATCACATATTAAGAACTGATGACCTTGAAAACTGGAATATCAGAAAGGGGCACAGACCTGCCCTTAAGGACTAATAGCACCAAGTGGGGACATGAACTGGGAGCTCACTGAGTGGAAGAGATGGATTGGGCGCTGACTGATTGTGGGCTGACCATAAGCATGCAGACAGCATTTCAAAAAAAAAAAAAAGAGCATTTCAAACAAAAAGCTCTGTTTGTTTGGCAAAGCAAAGAGGAGATTGTGAGATGTTACACACAGAAGGGAGATTTTACATGTGGAGAGATGTGAGCTGTTCCTTTCAAGACAAGGCAGAGCACTGCCCCAAGAATAAACTGATAGAATCTTAAATCAGAAATACAGAAGAAAGTTGTTAACCTTCAGTGAAATTCTTAAGCACCTTTCCAACAGGACTAAGCATGCCTCAGAAAAATTTAACGAGTGGAAATGACTGCCCTGTGCTTAGGATACCTGTGGGGAGCAATCACATGGCACCAAACAGCTGAACCAGCAGCACTTGGGAGCTCCAGCACAGACATGCCAGGCTGGGTCACGCTCCAGCTGAGCAGCCCAGGGGTGCAGCACAAACTGGTGCAAGCAGATGGAGGCTGAGAGAAAAGCAGCCACAGGAGGAAGGAGCACAATGAGCTGGGAGGAGGAAGCCCTGTGCATAACCCAAAGAGCGTGCCACAGGGGCCAGCTGCCAGAGAGTCTCAGGGCAACATACTGGATGGCAGCAGCTTGCAATTGTGAGCAGTCTCAGCTTCTTGTCCAGTTCTTGCCACAACCAAGTCATGGGGCTTTTGATATTTATGGAGGCTGTGTCACAGGTAAGCACCTGTCTCCAGTATTCCATTCTTCTTATGTCAAAAAGGACGCCTGTTGCCAAAGACTTGGCTAACTGTTCATGTCTTAGCATGCAACTTTTTATTTTTAAACTTCATGCAATTTAAGGAAAGTCAATCAATAATGTATAGATTAGAAAGTTTGTTTGGTTTTGTTTTGTTTTTTAACTGAGAGAAGTTCAAGTATTATTAGAAAATACAAGTTTTCCTGCATGAGATGTTTTAAATTACTGTAACTACCGATCCTCATTAAAAGTGGGTATGTATGGGACAGTATTAACAGTAATTAAAGGTATTATCCAAGAGACAGAATAAGATTTTTTTTTTTTTTTTTAATCAGTATCTTCTCAAACCAACAATCAAGAAGAGTACTGTTGCTGGATTTTGAAGTTATGATTAACTGTAACTCCAAGACAGCTACTGGAATGGCTGGAATTAGACCTGCTTTTAAGTACTTCAGTGAACTGGGCTATGTGGTAATGAATGTAATAAACATTTGAATGCTTTTGCAATTACTAGGAACATGCAACAGAAAATCATGAAGATTAAAGTCTCAAAGCTCTTTTGTCTATAGTTTATTATTTCACTTAGTTACTGTACATGCCTACAATGTATGCATCAAACTGGTACACACCTCTACTGCAAGTTTTCATGCTTATGGTTAAGACTGTATAAAACTTATTAAACAAGTGTTAGCTTCCTTTCAGTTACCAAATCTGTTCTACAGGCTCCAAAGAGAGTGGTTTGCAGAACAGACAAACAGAAAATGCATTCTCCTCCAGCTCACTAACCAAATAATATACACTGCAGGTCCATGGGATTAGAAATTCTAATATCCATGCAAGCGTGTATGGTAGAGGAGAGATTCCATACTGTCTTTTGAGAGCATAATCAGAACTATAAAAGACTGCCTTAAAGATGTCCATGGAGGGAATATTCTTGCCTATCTTGTCTGACTTAAATTACAGAATCTTTAATTATGTGCTATTCCGTTGAATATTTACATGAATGGCAAAGTAGAGAATTTGTAATTTTCCTGATTCATTTATCCTAGGTAATGTCAGTGGGATGGAATATTTTAAAATATGCAAAATATGTACTAATCTATGCTGTATAATAAAACATTCAGCCTGGAGTTATACAAAATGTGAAGAATTCTAGTTTCTTCATTCACCTCAAGGATTTCTGTGTGTACTGAATATGTCCTTGATACATACCAAAAATCCTCCTGTTTTTGAGTTGTGTATCAGAGTCAAACCAAGGTTCATGTCTTCCTTTATCTCAGTCACATTTGGAATATTTATTAAAGCTGAAATAAAATGAGATTAATTAATTGATGGAATAGTAAGATGTAGAAGCAATTTAATAAGATAGAATTCCTTTTCAAAAGCCTGATTTCTCGAAATTTATGATGCCTTTTCCAAATGGCTGCATACAATTCTCAGACAAAAGAAATTAAAGCTAGTCTTTGTCAAAAATTTGCTAATCATTACCTATAGACATGACTTAAGTATGAACACTTAGAGTTCCTGCCCTCAAAGGAGCTGAAGGCTAAAGGAAGGAAAATACAGTCTACCTATTGAGGTTTTTTGGCTGGCTGAATAGCTGCGGCCAAGCAGCTACTGTTGCATTCCTCAGGACACCAGACTCATCTGATCTGGTGAAAGGCTTTGGACAAAAACTTGGAAGGAGCAATGGACAGAAATGCTCTGCAGTACAAATAAACTTAAAAATAGGCATTTCAGCACACTCAGCTGCCCTCTATTTTCACTGTATGCAAAATCCCATTTTATACTTAAGTTTACTAACACACAGAGGCAGAAAATGCCATATCCACTCACTCATATCCACTCACTTACTTGTACAATAGATTGGCCTATTACAAAGAAAAAGGAAAAAATTGTAGCAAGATATTATTCGTCACTTACCTTGTAAATTCAATTTTTCACATGTTGTTTTGGACGTTCCAACAGGACATGCATAGATATCTCCTGTTCTGTTAGCTGGATAGCCACTCCAGGGTGAACCAACCAATAACCTAAAGTAATAGGAGCTTCATTAGCTACTGGTCTTTAATGATACTGGAAACGTCTGGCAGCATTATTGCATAGCACACTGCAGATATTAGGTAAAACGCCTTTTCCCAGATACAGCACCTATGGCACTCAGGAGTCTTCTCCAGAGCTGTACAGAAGCTTTCTTTGCATGTTAATACACTGGAATCACCAGGGCAAACTTCAGTGGGGAAGCCTCTGGGGATAAAGCTGCCTCAAATATGTGCTACTGTTCTGTCTGTGGCATTATGTTATAGTACCAGGAGAAATCCAGCAAAAATATTAATATATATAGACGTATACACATTTAGAAATATATATGTTGGGGAATGAGAGAAAAAAAAAAAAAAAAAAAAAGTATTGTCCTGTCAGCCCACAGTTAACCCTTGGTAAGTTTGCTGACAATACAAAGCTGGGCAGAAGTGTAGATATGCTTGAGGGTAGGAAAGCTCTACAGAAGGATATGGACAGGCTGGATCCATGGGCTGAGGCCAATTGCATGTAGTTCAACAAGGCCAAGTGCCAGGTCCTGCATTAGGATCATAACACCAGGCAGTACCACAGGCTTGGGGGAGAGTGGCTGCAAAGCTGCCCCGGGCTGTTGGTCGACAGCTAGCTGAAGATGAGCCAGCAATGTGGCCAAGAAGGCCAACAGCATCCTGGCTGGTATCAGAAATAGCAGGGCCAGCAGGACTTGGGAAGGGATCGTCCCCCTGTACCCAGCACTGGTGAGGCTGCATCTTTAATACTGTGTTTTTTTGGGCCCCTCACTACAAGAAAGACATTGAGGTTCTGGTGCATGTCAAAAGAAGGGCAACACAGCTGGTGAAGGCCTTAGAGGAAAAAGTTTTAGGACATGTGGCTGAGAGAACTGTGGTTGTTTAGCCTGGAGAAAATGAGGCTGAGGGTTTATCTCTCTCTTCAACTACCTGAAAGAACATTGTATTGAAGTGGGGAGTAACAAGTAACAGGATGAGAGGAAACAGCCTCAGGTTGTGCCAGGGGAGGTTTAGATTGGGTATTAGGAAATATTTCTTCACCAGAACAGTTGTCAAGCATTGGAACAGCAGCTAAAGGAAGTGGAGGTATTTAAAGACACATGAGGTGCTTAGGGACAGGGTTTAGTGGTGGGCTTGGAAGCCTTATGTTCATGACTGGACTTGATCTTACAGGTTTATTCTAACTGAAATGATTCCACGATTCTATGAACTGATTACTTTTAAGTTATTCTTTTAACTGATAAGAAGCCTTTCCTACAGATCTGCACAGCAACAGTCAAATGCTTATGTCACAGCTTGAACACTGCCACACCTTGACAACACTGAGTCAGAAGGAAAACACTGCAGGTGATAACATTCTACTGTATTAAGTATTTAATCCTGAACAAGAGAGTGAAATCTTATGATAATTTGTGCCTACAATATGAAGTGATTCACTTTTCTTCATTCCTTCATCTGCCATAATATTGCCCCTCCAATATCTGCTCCTTAAGATCCCTTTAATTTTTAACTGAAAGCCTTCACAAAACCAGTGAATTCACCCCTGAAAACAGTGCTTAAGAACACCTATTTTTCAGCACAACTTTGAGAAAGTTAAATCAATAGACAGTATAGCACTGTGTAGGGCTGCAAGAGAACGACAATTCTTTATGGGGTTTAACATAAGGTGAAATAAGGGTAAGGTAAAACATAACCATAGGAAGATGATATCAAGGGATAAAAAAAAATTATTAGAAAGCAGAGTATGTGAGTATTTGCTTCAGCAGCAATATGACTTTCCTTTCATTCAGAACAGTATGTGGTAATTAACACATCTATGGGATATTTAAAGGACAAGCAATAGGACCCCAGTACAGAATAAGGAGTTTTATAAGAAATCATATTTTCAGTTGGTCAACAGGTTGCTAAAAGTAAATTCGTTGTCCTCTAAAATTTGATAGGAGCTAATGCAAAGGCTTTGCATTACAAAAAGAAAACATTTTATGAAATCTTTATGTTTCAGAGAAATTGCTATATATCATATTGACTCTCCAGGCATCACCTGTTTTTACTGCTGCTATTTCTTTGAATTACTTTGAATAAAATGGCTTTGATAAAAAAGCATAGTTTTAGAACACAAGCAAGGGTTTGAGCCCTTTTTTTTTTTCTCTGTGAAAATACTGCTGATCTTGAAAAAAAAATTTAATTTCATCTTAATTAAACACAAGTGTAAGAGTACAAATACTATCATTCTGTTTTACCAGAATTAGATGCTACTTTTTGTGTGTAGAAGATTTTAAAAATACCTACCTCCTTCTGAATTACCTTGTAAATCAGTGATTATGCAGGCAGCAGTACACAATTTTGTGTACTTTTAGCATCTCTAAACCTGCAATTCAGGTTCACATAAATACCTACCTATGTAAAAACAGTGTATGTTACAATATCTGTGAGAAGGCCTCTGATCTTGTTATTTTCTGCACAGTGGAAATCAAAACTAACAGAGCTCAGGACTAAATAACCAGAGCTCATGAGATACTACTCCATTGGTCATGTGCCAATAGATGATACAACCTGCACACACCTGCAGTGATACAGAGGGCTGGTTCTGGTCAATAGTGATGGCCAGGAGGAAGCCGTGGTGCTACAGTCTCACCCCTTGGTGAGACTGTACCCTTAGGTACTACATTTTTTTTACAATTATTAGAATGATAATGGGATGATGGAAGAGAGAAAGGGTTAACAGTTTTCATGGAAACAGAAAACAGTTTTTAAAAGGATGGCAACACTGCATGTGTAATACCTGAAACCGGAACAGCTTTTCACCATTAACTGCTGAGCTGAACGTTGCACTGCATACATTTATAAATATTTGCATGTTTTTTCTAAGTTTCCCAGGAGGTCAGCGTAATGAATGACCTTAACAGATCTTGGAAATACCCTCTGCACCACTCCATCTGGTCATGAAACTGTAAATCTCTGTGCTGCATTGGCACTGCTTTGCAGCCGTGGATTATCCTGAAGCCCAAAGCACATAGTTCAACTCATAAACACAGTGAGAACCAAGAGAAGAAGAGAAGTGTGCTTGAGTACTAGCTGTCCCTAAATCCAAGTCTAAGTTCAGGCCTAACTCCAGCCCTTGCTATCGGCATGCACTAGAGACAAACACCATCCACAGAGCCTGGAAAATGCAGTTCTCGCCCTTTCAACATGCATATGTGTGCTCACTCCATGGGTTTTACGCAGTTCAGCTGTAATGTGGACTCTGAAACTTCCATTTTCCCCAACCTCAATATTAATTCCAACCCAGACGTCTATTTATACCAAGGAACCATCAGTCTTTATATTAAATCCAATTGTAGACTTTATTATTCAGAGCTGTATTTTACTTTTGCTATCCCTAAAACTAACCTTGTAGCTGTTGCTACAAACAGTAAAATAGAAGAGTTTGTCTTGTTTGCCTTACAATTTTAAACACAAATCTGAATCTAAACCAACTGTGCCCAAAGCAAACAAGTTTTTGTTTGAAAGCAAATGAAAGCAAAAGTCTTTCATTTGGCACTCCTCATACTATTCTGGAAGTTACTATACTACCTCCCCCTTTGCTGTATTAGCCTCCCTTGTACATTTATAGGGTCTATGAATCTCCATGCAGTAACTGTGCCATAAGCCAAAATTTGTCACCTCATACACAGAATTTAACACTTAGCAATATTACTGACACTGTGATTTTCAGAAATGAACAAAGCTACTAATATCTAATAAGCACTTATCTGACTTAACTAATCTGCCATCAATAAGCTCCCAAGAGAAAGTAATTAATAAACTTCTGCCAAACCTAGCTTTGTACTTTTAACTGTTAACTTTAAAGGTCCTAGGAAATAATTATTATTTCTCTCATACCCTGAGCCTTACTTAAGCTTTATACTAGCCTTAATCTAAATTAGGAATCAGTAAATTCTACTTGCCTTTGAAAATTAACATAAACCATTACAGTATCTGGCTAGCATCCTGCTTACCACAGAGATATCCTTTACTGTGATTAAACAGGAAGCACATTCTCTTTCACTCTGCTTCATGTATCAGGAAAGAATGCCAGAAATAGTCACTAAAATACTTGAAAATGCTTATTTGCAAATAAATTGTATCATGTATAGTGTATTAATTAAGGGTCTTTTTTAGCCGTGAGTTAAATATTTATTTTTACAAAGCTTCCTTGTGTGTTCTTGTGGACTGTCTTTAGACAATACTATCATGATAAGCAAGTAATATTGCCATGAACTTTATTATCCAGCTTCTTAATCAGTCTCCAACACTGTATACAAAGCAATGGAATGACATGAAGTCAAATAAAGTTCAGCAGCAATGACATACCACACAGGCTGCAGGAGTGGCAGATCAAAGTGGAACAGGAATTATTTCTGGGAAATTACACCATGACAAAGCTAGTAACTGGCAAAGCGTGATGTAACAGAAAACAAAATCAGAATTCATGGTGAAGAGCTGGATTCCCAGCTGCTGTCAGAGCACGTTTTATGTTTTCTGGTGTGGGGCACTTTTTTTTCCCTTTTTTTTTTTCTTTTTATGCATTTTTTTTTAAAACATAAGGATGGCTAATAGGAAACAGGGAAATAAAAGTAGAAAGGGCCTCTTAGATCATCTGGCTCTTTTCCCTTGAATTACAGGAAGCAATGAATAGATATGAAGACAAGAAAATTTGACTCTCAGATGCTTCTCTGCACATACAAAACTTACCACCATCTAAAATTTTAGATCCTTGAACAAAAGACTCAAAACCTCAAAACCTACAGCAAGGTATGGCAAGAGAGTTTGACTGGCAAACTTAAAAGGCCTAGAAGACAAATGCCAGGCTGCTCCTCCAAGCAGGAAAAAGGCACAGGGGAAGCAAAAGCTGGGCAAAGAACTCAGTGTTGGCATTGGGGCTGGCACTGCAGAGACAGAGCTGTAACAATGGCAGCATTCTGTTTTCTTTTTTTTTTTTAAAAACAAAAAGTGTTGGCAGAAAGAATTTACCATCTTCATTAAAATCATAAGACATTGCAAATGTATTTATTTCAATAAAAGCTTCTACAGAAGTTGCCTTTTCACCAAAATTTTAGCTCAGGAGAAAGACTTCTGTCCTTTGATGACTACTGAGCAAAAATTAAAGAACTGAAAAAATATGTTGTAGTGCAATGATTATGTGATACAACCATAAGGGCAGTACCTATTAAGGTGTCATTACTGACATGATATGGAATGAAACAATATTTTAAAAAAAGTCCTGTAACAAATTCCAAAACAAAATTCAAAAATTCCCAAACCTAAGCACACACACAACTGAGCAGGGTGGCTGCAACTTGATACCAAATAGCACCTTAACAGCAGACTGAGATTTTAGCTCTGTTGTGGGATGTGTCCAAAGGCAGAAGACATGTGGGTAGGAAAAAGCATGTTAACAGTTATATCAGCTATTCAATCTTCCTCACCTGAGAAGGATATAAAACCAAATCTCAGCATGGAGTAAGTACTGTTATCTTGGTAGAAGGTACTATCAGCTCCTGCTCAGGGCATGCACATTCAATACAAACTTGACAGAATACAATCCACCTTTCTAAAACATGATGTTTATAAAATGAGAGAGAATTTGCTCTCAATTTAAGGTTCAAATACAGAGGATCTTATGACAGGAAGAACCAGAGTGTAAACGAATGATGTTTCTGTTGTGGCTAATTAAATCCATGGTGGACTGCTTAAACTTTTCTAATTGCTGAGCTACTTTGGTGTTCACAATTTTCCTTGAGTTCATTAAAGAGCTCCTGTTTCAAAATTCCCACCAGACACAGTGGAAAGTTTGAGCTGTGCTTGACTTGCAAGTTTGTCCTCATTTATGAGCATCACATGCTTGTAATGCCCATCAATGCACAGCAAACCAGTGTCCAATTAACCTGGATCATATGACTCTCTACAGAAAGGGCTCCCTTCTGGGAGCTGCGACACAAACTCCCTGCTGGTTTGTGTCACAGCTTCCCAACATGTATCAGCTCCCTCTATAGCCATGTGTTCTTGATTGCACTGTCTTCCCTCTTGCCTCCGAATTCATCTCCAAGGAAACATGATAATGAACTGCTGCACGCAGTACCAATTCTGCAAAAATTCTCCTCTCTTCATGATTTTCTCCAGCCCTTATTGCCTCAAGAGAGGTATCTCCCAGAAATACAGCTGAATAACAAAACTATTATCTGCTGGTATTTTCTGTATCTCTACTTTTTGCTCTTTACGAGAGTACAGGAGGATTTTTAAATCTGTATTTGATATAGCATCATGTGAATTTATTAAAAGAAGCAAAGTCTAGGACGTGATTAAATTTCTGGTGGATCTCAGATTCTGGATAACGTCTCCCTTGGAGAGAGGTGCCACTCCAGCAGCATTTGATGTGGTGCGCAGCCCCACTGTGCCTGAACACAGTTTTGAAGGGCATCACATTCCTGAGGCACAGTGATGGTTTCTTCATAAAAGCATAGGCTGACAAATACTCCCCCCTGAGAGAAAGCAGCAGCCCAATCTTATGCAAAGCTCAGACTGTTTATCTCAGTCCTAGCTCAGCCATGTCAACAAGCGCTCTGCACATGGACTGCAGCCTCTGTGTCTCTTGCAGGAGAAACCAGCTCTACTAAACAGCTTGAGTGTTTTTTGTTGTTGTTGTTTTTGTTTTAAATAATGCACACAAGAAAAAGCTCGATTGTCCTAAGAAAAAGCAAATAGCTTAGAAATCAAGAGAACAAGATAATAAAACAGCTTTTCTTCTTAAGCTTGCCTAATGATTTCTTGAGAGGGAGACTGAAAAGAGCTTTTCTTCACTGAAAATTCTCTAAGGAGTCATGGCTACTCAAACAGGAGCTGGTAAATTTTCTGACTTTTGGAGCTATAGTCAAATATCATGCAGTGAATGAACAGATGATGAAGTGACTATCTACAGAAAAGTTTACCGGATTCATAATACTCATATACTTAGGAGATGATAGTAAAAGTTAATGAAAAGTTACTTTCCCAAACTCAACCACACATAATCCAAGAAAGTTTTAGTGGAAGAATTATTATATCAGAAGTAAAAATAAAACAGGGAAATCTAAAAAGGCTTGAGTGCATCTGGAACTTAATGCTCCTGTTGCAAGCTTATAGAAATACTTATATGATAAAACATAAGATGTAATTTTTCCATGTGTGAGCCAAAGCATTCAATTCACTTCAGGCAGACATCTTTGTTCTCCTTCAATACCTTTACAGAGAATTTTTTTAAAAAGTTAGCTCTGATCTATGGGTGACTAAACACATAATTAAAGCAGGCAGAAACACAGCGAGAAGCCACCACAACATCAGGCAAGGCGTGGGAGTAGGTTGGGAGCCTACCCAGTGAAGGGAGAGGAAAAGCTGAGCTCTTAATTTGCAGGATTCAGCTCTGCTCTTCTCTTTGTCTCCTGGTCACTGGTGGTAAACACAAAAATGCTGGAAACACAGCAAGAACTAGATAGTCTTACAACTTCGCATATGCAACCAACTGCAACTGCACAGTGCCTCTGTGCAGGGCTATGCATATGTGTCTCAGCTAACTCCTTATTTTTGTATGGGCTTTTCCAAAATTTAACTATAAAATACATTTTCATATGCATTTCCATGAATTTAATGTTTTGACATTTTACTTTTTACTGAAAAAGGTTGAGCTATTTACTATCCATCCATCATCACTTAAACGTTCCAGTTTGTAGCTACGTTGTTTCTGACAGCGTTTCAGTCTATGGAGAATGATATACCTTAAATGTTGTTTCCACTTATGATAATATATATGAAACTTGTGTGACTTTCTGCTATAGACTTAAAGCCACGCATACACAAATAACCACTTAAAGTAGTTGAGTACCACTGAATTATTTATAGACATATAATCCTTTGCCAGGAAAGACACCTTAAGCTTTGTGGTTGCTGAGGCTGCAGAAGAGGCAACAATGTGTTTTCCACTAGATGGCCTTACTCTGGGTTAGTATTTTCATGTTCTTTTTGAAGCCAACATTACTAGAAAAAATATTTTACTAATTACTCATCAAGCCTCATGTGGTGGCAACAGTAGATTTCACATCAAGTTTTATGATGGAAGACATGGAGTAGACACAAGGCTTTTGCTAGAATTGTGTTACATGAATCCAAGTATGTTGTCCCTTGAGAAGCAAACAAAACTGTATGAGAGACAAAATTATATAAATTTAAGTTCACTTAATATTAATTATTATAACTTGCCAGCCCTAATAATTTGTTTTAATCTCAACAATGTTAAAATGGAAAAATATCCCAAATATATATAACACATAACAAAAATGCTATTGGTACAGGAATGAATGAAATGAGTTAAAATTCTACAAATCTGTGAATCTGAGGAAACTGATGTGTTGGAGGTGAAAGTAAAAGATTAACAGAAAGACCTCAGAATACACTGTATAAAGGGAAGAAGCCTGAACTTTTATATGCATATGTCTTTAGAATATTTCAACTTTTGTTTGAATAACATATTTACTTTTGGAAAGACAGCTCTACTGTAAAAATTAATTAACCAAAATGCATTTAAATGAAATGCAGAATTAAAGATAACCACGCTGCAACAACTTGTCCTTAACCTTTTAACTTGACATATAACAATCTCTTCAAACTGCTTACCATTTGCCTTGTTCATTTACAAACTGTTGAACTGCGTATCCAAACTGCTCTTTAGATGGACCAGAAAACACTTTTGCCTCTAGGAGCCCAATGTTGTAGGCCTCACAGCAGTTATGAAGAACGCCTGTTAACAGAAAGATTATGATTATCACAGAAACAATTAAACAAGAATTTTGATCCCAGCAGAAAAGGCTCTTCAGTTGTGACAGCTCTCCCAATAAGAGAAAATAAATTATAGCCTTTGACATGTGCAGGAAAACAAACAAACAAACCAACCAGAAAAATCCCAACAAACCACAAACATTTTTTCCCT